AAAAAATAAAAAAAATATATATATACGTAATATTTATAAAAAAAAAATATTTTCTATTTTAAGAATATATTATAAATTTTTGAATTATTATTAAGAAAAAGAAGAATATATAATCTCTATATAATATTCAATTCAATATTGAATTTATATAAAAAGAAATCTGTAATTATATTATATCCCATAAATTTGAAATAACGATAAAATTAATAAGAATATATTTTATATCTAATCTATTTATATTGAAGATCTAAGAGAATAAGAGAAATAATTTCTAAGATAAGCATGCATAGATATCTTAATATAATCCCAATTTCTTTAGTTTCATAATCTTAATTCTAAAATATAATCTATCAAATCAAATCGATAAGCTATATAATTATAGATATGAATAATTGATATATATATATATGAAAATGACATTATATTCCCAAATCATTTGAATTGATAAAAATAAGAAAAATATAATATCTATTATACCTTATTTTTTTTATAATTCTATATATAACTAGGAGCTGAAATAATTCAGAAAGAATATTTAAAAAAAATGGCAAATATCTCAATATCGGCTTTTTCAGTGGCGGTCATTTCGGCCGTGCGCGGCCTAGTTTTTCCGTTCCCCTTTAAATTTTTCGGGCTCCCTATATATTCTAAAATCTTACAGAGTTTGGAGCCTTTCGGAAAAGCCAGAGGCTCTAAAATCTACGAGATTGAAGCGGGCGGCGCGGCCAAAAAAAGATTCAGTCTTTCCGCCTCATTTTTTTACCTCTCTTGGGCTATCTACGCGGCAATTCGGGAGAGTGCATAAATCCCCGTAGACAGACACGTTCCTTCTATAAATTCTGACAGATTGTGCTTCTCCGTCCCAGCACTATGCGCTCCTTCAAGCAACCGCGCAGACAGCCAAGGAGAAACAAATCACGCGGAAGACCGCTCCGGAGGCAAGGGCCGCGCGACCAAAAATCTCCGAGATTTTTGTCGCGCCGCCACACCACAAATTTTGGAGATTTTAAAGCCTCTAGCTTTTCCGAAGGGCTCTAAAATTTCCGAGTTTTTTTTTAGAGTCCATAGGGAGCCCGCAGGAGGCATTTTAAAGTGAGCAGCAAGACCTAGGCCGCGCGCGAACGGAATGGCCGCAAGTGGCCGCGCCGTATTATTGAGGTAAAAATGGTCCTGCGCTCTGCATTCCCAGCCCCCTCCCTCCTCCCCCCCAAAGGTATCCCCCACCAACCCCCCCCCATATGCTTCAAAAGTGCCAACAGTCACAGGGATCCCTCTCAGGGTCGCAATCCTCGTAATTGTCGTCGTTTGGGTGCCTCAAAGCCTTCATCCTCGTAACTGTGGTGACTTTTGGACGCGCTTGAAAAGTACCAACAGTCACAGGGATCGGGGTGGTCCTCATCGCCATCCTCAGAACTGTCATCACTTTTGGCCCCCTTTATTCTTGTCGCGCTTCGAATGCATCAACAAATCAACAGTCACAGATATAAGGCTTCTATAGAACTATGAACTTATACACATTATATATCATAAATGCATTATATTCCCTCCATGAACTTAATGAAAACGACAAGACTCAAACCATGAGCCACGGGGGGCTGGGGGTAATAGGCTCCGAATCCTCTAGAAACAGTGCAAGCCTTGTCTAAACTTTAATCTTACTTGCAAGACCCAGACCACAGGACCACAAGGGGAGTGCGGGGTTATATTTTTTTGTCGTGCTCCACATGTATCAACAGTCACACATATGTGACATAAGCCTTCTCCAAGACCATGAATCTATGAGCGCTATAAATACTTTATATTCTCCCCATGAACCTACTGTGAAGAACAAGACCCAAACCATAAGCCACAGGGGGGGGTAATAGGTTCTGAATCCTCTACAAACAATGCAAACCCTCACTTCAATCTAACTTACAAGACCCAGACCACAGACCACAGGACCACCGGGGGGGTGGCGTGGGGGGTTACAGTTTAATCCTGTTTTAGAGCTCAGAAGATGGGGATCATACCATGGGGGGCGAGGGCGGGGCCGCTGGGGCGTAACCATATATAGACATATTTCCCCATCAACCAATCTCGCATTTCTGGAAGGAAATCATTGATCGAACAACCTCCCGACCAGGGTTCCTCTGCACAAATCCAGACGTAAGAGGTATGTCAGTGCACAAGATATGGTGGGGACGAATAATCAAACCCGCAAATCAAATGAGACACTAAGGTGAAAAGCGGCTCACGACCCGGCTCTGTGCGTTGCCAGGTTACTTTTTCCCGTCCTGGCAGGGCTGAGGTACCTTCTGGTCATGGGGCTTGGGGAGTCCAGGGTTGAGATGGGACGGGTCCTGTTTTCCGGGTGGGGCGAGCTCAGTAACAAGGAAGCTAAGATAAGATGCCACAGTGTCTGTGTGTGTACACCTTATGTCAGGAATCCACCATGGCCTTACGAGTTCGGAGCACCGTGGTTTTCTTAGTGCTATCAACCTATCACAATCTCCGGACGACGATTGGGAGATTTCCTATTGCAAGACTGTCGAGGACTCTACACTAAAATAGCGTCCAGGTCTTGCAATGACTATCCCCCCCTGTCCTTACAGCAAGGTGGTCGTCACTGTGAGCTTCCGGTAGTTCAGCAACTTGCCCTCCGGTAGCCATGTCTTGAAGCCATCTGACTCAGAGGCTTTGCCACTCAGACCGTCGCCTACCAGTTTCACTGCTATACCAGAGCCGTTGTCGTAGAAGGCCTGCATTTTCTCTGGAGGCTTCCATGAGATTTTCTGGAAGGTTGGCTAGCGGTGGAGGTTCGGGCTAATGTTGGACCTCCTCTTTTAATTCTGGTCCCCTATAATGTGTTTTGGGGCCGGCNNGGAAAGATTCTCAACAATCCCTTTTAAATCAATCTACAGGGATCTCAGAACCGTGGGAGCTCAGGGGGTCCGTATTGAGGATCCCTAATTTCCATTTTTCGGAGGGCCCTAATGCTAGGGGGGGGCCTACTTATTAAAGAGGGTCCAACCTTACTACCCCATTTATAGCTGTACATAAAACTGACATAAAACCGAATTCCAAGCCTCCTGAATCCCCAAATATTATGATGATCCTTGGTTTGAAAGACATTTCCTTATGGGTTACTGTAAGCCTTGCCCTGAACAACCGAGTAAGGCCGCGCCTCTATCTCATAAGAGCATTTGGAAAAGCCAAGGGTCCGGCCGCCATTCTTGACGCCGCCTTTGCACAAAGGGCAGCGCCCAGGCATCATCAGGATGTCTTCACCGTTTTGGTTCTCGCCCAAATTGCACCAGACCAGTTTTCCGAAGGCCGGGCAATCCTTTCCCATGCACTCGCCCTCGATGTTGGTGCCCGGAGCGAGGCGCCTGTACTCAGGAGCCGTGTCAGAGTACTTCTTGAAAGTTGGTGGTGTGGAGAAGTCCGGCGCATTCCAGCCAACATGGCCCATGGTTTCAGCAGTGAACAAAGGACTACTTGGGAGTATTTCGAGGTGAATCGCCTGCTGTCAAACGTACCTTGATCATGGATCAAGCACCAAGGATGATACAGCTCTCGTGTTCCATGCTGTTTCTGAAAGGCAATTCAGCATCAGCAACCTACAGCGCAACATCTAGCTGAGTATGCATAGTCAGGGTGGGAGGGTTCCAAAAACACGGCAACTTCAAGGCCTCAGGAACCTCGTTGGAATTGGCTTAGACCATGGAGGATTTCGCGCAATCTCCCAACAGCATTCGCACGCGAAAGCCCAGCGCTGGCTCCGAGGAGAACAGAGCCCCGCCTGATTTGGGTGCCACCGTCCCCGTGCTGTGCGAAGCAGGCTGGTGTGACGGGTCGCCCTGCACCATTAGGTCGCAAAGGATGCAGCTGCGAGCCTTCGTAAGTTGATTTCTGCGCTGCTTGACGCCAGAAGGGCTTGGAAAAAAAAACACCCACCGAATTCCAGCGGCTTGAGTAATCTGAGGGCGAATCGGGCCTGTGACCGTTCAGACTCATTGTTGGGGAGTTTAAGGACACTGCGCTGGACGCTCTGTCTCTATCACAACATGACATGAAATAACATCACGTAATTCTTTTCTCAGGCCTCCAGCGCTTATAAGTTTACGCTATGACATGAGGGCCATCAAGACCGTTGCTTCAGCAGCTGTAGAGAGGCGGTGCTGCGTAAGCGCCGCGTAGATAACAATATTTCATGTGAGCCATAGTCTAAACTCCTAGTATCCCCCATAGTAACCTCTACACTCGTCACCTATATAACCCCTCATATCACTCGCTTTAAGGAGTCTCGACTCTGGCGCATGTAGGCCCGCTTGGGCAACCTTATGGGCCCGCACTCATCGCGTGGGCACCGCAGTCAACTTAATTTCTTACTGATTCAAACAACCAAACAACACCACTCAGCCCATCTTTCTTATGTGCCGCTTCGCATGACACCGCAAATTTCTGACTATGACATTCTGGGATTACCCTTCAGCATGCTCGTTGGATACTCGTTAGGCAACATGCGTCTTTGATGCTGCTAATTGATACAGACACAATACACAGGGGTTCTCGCAGCCATGGGTCTCGCCTGGAGATCCCTGTCATAAGCGCTGTGCTTAGACAGTTTTGGGGCTCAATTGGTGGACTTTGACTTTCAGAAGTGCCTCAATGCAGCACAGTGCTTGTTACTAGAAGGAGTCACCAGCAGACTTTGATATGGTAGTTTCCCAAAATTGGGGAACCCCAATATGGATCCCCCAAATACTATAGTCCTTATTATGCGGACCCCTAAAAAGGTACCCCTGACTGTGGGAAACTACCATATGTCCTGCAGGAGTTTTTCTCATCGCATCTTTCGCTCAGACTGCGGCTGTACCATCTGACGAACGTCAAAGGCCCCTGACTTGGCCCCTGGTTCCGAGCAATATTAGGGTTTCCCAAAATTGGGGGTACCTTATTGGGGGTCACCATCATAAGAACTACAGTATTTTGGGGTCTATATTGGGGCCCCCTTATTCTGGGAAACTATCATGTAGCATGATGTTCAAAACGGGCACCGCTTGGGTCGGTCCTTCATAGACTGACCGTCTTTGCAAGCAGCATCTTGGCTGGTCCAGGCAAGTACATGTGAAATGGTGACTAGATTCATAGCTGTGCTGCCCAAAGATAGGAGAGAATGCTGATAGCTGGCTAGTACAGTGGTGGCGGTTGGGGTATGGAACTCCTGTTGTAAGTTGACTTTCAATGTAGGAGTGACCGCCTTCGGCGAAGAGAATCTCTCTCGCCCAAAAATGACAGAGTGAGTCAATGTGCAGCGGCGAACTATCCACAAGCCTGCAGGCGCTCACCATGTCTTGATAATAAGCTGCCGGAAGTTCAGCGAGCTGTCCTGAACCGGAGAAAGAAGAGTAAGGCGAAGTGACACAAGGTGGCTTGATAGCCAGGACATGATTTCCAAAATTCAGGTCCGTTTCCGGGGTCCTTGAGAGTATGCAGTGTGATGGGGTATATAGAGTGTATATAGCGACTCCTGCAAGCCCAAACCAAGGAGTAATTCAGGCCGCAGTACATCATCATGGAGTTTCTTATGCTGTGATGTCCTCCAGCTGCCAACTTTGAAAGCCGTCAACGGGGGAGACGGTGCCCCTCAAGGATTCGCCCTTCAAGATTTCAGCCTTGCCATTGCCGCCACCGTAGAAGCCGCTGATTTGCCAGGAGCACTGGTAGAATCCCAAAGTGGAACCGCCATTTTCTAGCCCAGCGCTACAGGAAGGACAGCGGCCTGGCATCAGCATCAGATCGTCTCCTGCGGAGTTCTTGCCCAAATTGCACCAAACCATCTTGCGGCACCTGCCCCTGCACCTACCCTGGATGTTGAGACCAGGCTTGAGCAGTTGATGTGCAGCACTGGAGCGCTGGAATCGAGATTTCGCAGTGTGGAACTCTTCATCGGGGACTCTTAACTTCTGTTGCACCAACTTGGTGATCTCCACTTCGTAGACCCTTTCTATGGCATCGTGGTCCCGCTTGATGCGAATATACTCTTTGTAGCTGCCCCAGCTGTTCCTGAGAGCTATCTCCTCGGACCGTCCATCTTGGCAAAACACGGCATGCAAGCCATGGCCTTTCGTCGACCAGCCAAGCTTAGGGGTCCGGATCACTACAACATCTCCTTCCTGGATGCCCTCCGCGCTCTGTCTCTGCCTGGGTTTTAGGGTTGAGGGTTTAGGGTTAAGGTTTAGGGTTTAGAGCAGCAACCTTTGAACCCTGAACAGTATCAAGTGAATTGCAAAGAACCTGCAGAGACAAGTGGAAAAGTTTGGAGGTTCCCGTTCCCTCTTTCATTGCCATCATGTGTCAGAGCTCCAACATCTTGCTTGCCGGACGCATGAACAAAGCAGGCCTTATTTCCCACACACTTACCCCTGCACCATATGCCTACGCACTTGACTTTTGATCCCTACGCCCTTCAAACCTGAATGCTCAAACCCTTCAAAGAGAATATGGGGATCCCTATTGGGGGCAATCTTGAGAAACTGGTGTATTCGAAGCTTGCAGGAGGCCTGCCAAGACACAGCACCCATGTCTTTACGGAAAGGTTTAGTTACGCAAACAACTACGTTTCTGGGATCATGGCACAAGACGCCCCAGAATCTTCTCCTAATTCCTGCATAAGTACAGGGTCCCTAACGGTACCCCTCGTGTGCAAAAAGCTCCTGTAGCCGCTACAATCCCTAAACCAAACCCTAAAGCCAAAACCCTAAAATCTAAATGGGTGGTTGTCAAAATTATGGTCCCTTTATGGGTACCTAAATATCAGGTGCCGTATTATAATAGGGATCCAAAAAGGGTCCATAATTTTTACAACCACCCAAATGAAGGGCCTCACACGGATGGTCAACTCGTAGACCTTGCCCCCGGCGCCCACGAGCTTCAGCTTATGTCCATCATATTGATCAGGATCAACCCCACAGGCTCCTTCTAAATAGGCTGGAGGTTAAGGTTTAGGGTTGCGTGTTAAGGGTTTAGGGTTAATTCAGAGTTTAGTTTAGGGTCTGTAGGAATAGAGAGATAAGGCCTTACAACGATGAGGGTTTAGGGAAATACTGCAGTTTTGGTAGAACCCGTAGTGGGGATTCCATGTCGTCTAGCGCTCCGCAGCCAACACGTGCGACTTGAGGTCAGGATTTGTCAAACTTGAATCTTTGGTTTTGGGCCTCCAGGCGGAGAAGTCTTGTACATTTGAGTTTTGGTCTAGACTCCTAGTATCCCTCTGAATAACCCCTAAAGGAGTCCCCTATATAATCAATCCCCTATAAGAAGTTTAGACTATATAGCTCATTTGGGGTAAGGGGATAGGAGTGCAAAGACTGATAGCCTGTCTGCACCGCACATACATGAACCCAATTCCACACCTGCGAGGAGAACCCGAAGCTCTGAAGCCAAACCAAGAAACCCTCTGCCTACATAGACAAGATGCGCAAGCGAGTTTTGGTGGTCGAGTATAATCCTAAGCCCTAAGCTCTGAGATCTTAGGGTTCGGCCAGGCGGGTTTGGAATTGTAAGGTTCTTCTGGTCCCAGGGTTCTTCTACAGTGGTTTAGGGTTTGGAGCGTAGGGGAAGAGATTGTCTCCAGAAACTTCTGACATCTCACAGCTTTGAAAAGCTTAGTACGGGGTGGTATCTAAAGAAAGCTGAGAAAAACACACATAGCGCCAACTGCTTATGATGCACAGAACAAGCAGGCTACCCTAGATGACTCTGCAAAAAGGCTCTCTGAGCTTTACAGCTTAGAAGCTGCTGGCAGCTACGGAACGGCAATTAGGAAATGGCTCCGAAATCCTGGCACAAAACAATGGCTCCTGAGCCAGATGACTTATCCACCAGGACAGCCACTGTACGTCCTGTTCACCTGAGTGGGCCCATGAATACCGTGAATCAGAATCACTAACCAAAAAGGGGGCTCTCGGCGGCACTAGTTCATTTCTCAGGTATCATGATTGCAAAGGTACACAGCGTCAGGAGTCCACCAATGTCCCCGCGGGCATTAGGGGCAAAGTCTCAACCCACCTGCCTGTTCCCGCTCACCGTCACAGATAGAATTAGCCAAAAAGGTATGGTGTCCCTGCCATTGGAACAAAAGCAATATGAAAAGATCACCTAGGCCCTGGCCTTGGCCAATCTATCGGACAAGATGGGTCACTTGTGTTTCATGGGGTTTATTGTTTAGGGTTTAGGGTTCAGGGTTTAGGGTTTAGGGTACCATTATGTCTGCTGCATCATCTACATATCCTGCGTTGGCCAAACCCGCTACGCACCCAGACATTGCTAATTGCCAAACCGTCTTCTGTCCCCAAAACCACACGGCTCGTTACTATGGTATTCGGCAACAACACTTCTATTCCTAGCTGAATGTAACTACAGTACATGTCCAACAACGACCTAAGCCCCCAACCCATAAACACCCCAACTCCTAAACTCCGAAATTCTAATTCCTAAGCCCTACACCCCTAAATCCTAAATCCCCAAACCCCTAACCCTCCTAAACTCCTCAAGGCCCTAAACCTCTCAAGCGCACACAATTTCTACTAGGGGCAACTCAATAGTAATAAGTCTACCCTTGTTCCTAATGCCAATGTTCAGTTTAAATGAGGAGGCCCTAAAATCAAGGGAAAAAGGGCACTACTGGGGTACCTCTAAACCCTAAACCCTAAACCCCAACCCCTAATCCCTAAAGCTTAATCCCTACCCCCTAATCCCTGAACCCTAAAGCCTAATCCCTAAACCCCTAAAACCGCAAGAGCGTTAAAGGAGCCCAGGTGGCAAGGAGTCTAAACTCCTAGTATCCCCCTTAATAACCCCTATGATAGTCCCCTATATAACCCCCTTGAAGGAGTTTAGACTATGTTCAAGTGGCCGAGGAGACGATGCTCGTCTCTGGGCAT